AACATTCATGCATACATGGCTACATATATGCATACATGAATCCATGATCATACATTTACATATACAGGCACGCGTGCGCAGATGCAGGCATACGTGCATATATACATGCATGCAAGCATACATGCATACATGCATTCATGCATATATGCCTACATGCATTCTTGCGTGATGCGTCTATATGCATACGCACACACACACATATATATGTAATATTTATATTTGAATATCCATATCTATGTATCTATCCATGTATCATACTATGCATCTATCTATGTATCTATAATTATATGTATCTATCTATGTACCTATCTATTTGATTCTATTTATTGCTTATTTATTCTATCTCGTGCGGTTTTTGACCTTTCTTGCTTTGCAGTTGTCCACAGCTCGAGGACTTGCTGCACAGCTGCCACTGAGCCTGCCAACGAGACTCGTGAAGACGACTGGACGGTGTCATGGCTTCACTGAAAGCGTTGGTTGAAATATGTTAAAATCTTGCCATCCTGCTCTGTTGCAATTGTTTCTGATTGATTCTGCCAATACTGGGTCACCACTAGACTCACTAGACCATGAACCAACTTGAGAAGTTGACCCCTTGCATGTCATTTTGTGCGTGCTATCCACCTTAGAAGACCAAACTGAGTTCTAGGTTTGAGGTGTCTTGGCTTGGGTTGTGCTTGCGCAAGGATTCGCAATACATATGTTTGAAGGGAAAACCACCGGTGTGCCGGACGCACCATGTACCTACTACAATTCCACAAGTTATTTGGACATCCTAGATCACATCCTGTTCTGCTCGGGTGATTGTTTCCTCCAATCCTGTTCGTGACACGTTTGAAATACAACATATCCATCGTTGGAGCGTGGTCCAATAGCACGGGACATGTTGGCCACTGAGGTCCACCGCGCCCCTTGGAAGCGAGCAGGGCCATGGACTCCCACCCAAAAAAGGAGAAATCATGAGAAATGCACCTGAAACGATTAAGATATGATTCATATGATGTACATGGTGGATGCCTAACGGCTTCATGAGTGTATCGGGGGCATCTTTGTGGTGTCATGGTGATCCGGGTCAAGCCGCCAAGGATGAGCGCTTGAAGAGTGCAACCCAGCCCCAGGCGCGGTCACGACAACCAGCGGCCCACTGTTGACATGTGACATGTGGTGATTGTGACTGCGAAAGCCAGGCGTATTTGTCCGCTGCAGCGCTCCGACCTCTCAGCGCAAGGCACTGATGAATTTGCCTGGAAACAAAAAAATAAGAGTTGAAGATAGTTGAAATGCGTCCCTGACCAACTTGTCATTCCTATCCCGTTGACAACGTTGACACGTGGTGAAGCAATGACCTTCTTCCGCTTCACGTCTTAATCTGGGTAATGACAAGAGTATGAATCGGATTAATATGGATGAATAGCATTTGGATCAGTGAATTAAGGGGTCCGTGTGTTAATTTTGCTGCATGAAGGTTGTGAATATGAAGTCATGACTTCTAAAGAGTTGGCTAGCCTTTCTGTAATGAGCTCCAGCTCCACTGACTGCCGGAGGCCATCACTCATAGGCTTGGCCCTGAAAAAGGGGCTGGATGCATCATCCCCGAATGGGAAAATGCGGAGGAAAACGAACACATCTGATGATCTTAGGGTGGCAAGGGGTATGAAACTACTCGTACTGTTTCATTGCAAGAGTATTGAGGCTGTACCAATACTCAATACAGTTTAGATTTGGCATGATTTGGCCATGGGAAATAGGATACGGGTACATCATAGCCTTGCCAATAGGATTTCTGCAATTATTATATAACCAATCAGAATTGATCTATGAGAAAATGAGGCTTTACCAATAGGGTTAGGTTTGGCCACGGGAAAGAGGACACCGATAAAACATACGTAGCATAACATAGCCATGCCATTAGGATTTGCTCCCAATAATCCTTGTACTTTGACTTGTGTTCTTCAAAACCATCACTGTGCGCAAAGCTTCGGCTATGTGTAAGTAACATTACAGCTAAAACATGCCGTGGAGGTGGTCTTTTTCTGTCCCTGATGTGTCTTTTCCCTGCCTGATGTGACTTTTGCGTGTTGACGCTGTGCCATGGAGACGTTGTGGCCTTTTCTGCAGTGAATCAAGTAGGGCAGTTGCAGCAAGCGGCACGGAAAAGCAGTGAATGATAGTGAAATCATATAGTGAATATGTTTGGGTCTTCCCAGCTTAGCGTCGCAGGGGACGACTTGGGGTTGGGATGCCCAGCGATTTCTTTATGGGATCGCCGGGATCGTCTCGGCAGATTGGGACAGTGGATTTTGGTGCAGCCAAGCCATCCAGATGTTTTTATATACATGTAAACAACATGTAAACAACATGTAAACAACATGTAAACAACATGTAGACAACATGTAAACAACATGTAAACAACATGTAAACAACATGTAAACAACATGTAAACAACATGTAAACAACATGAAAAATGTAAAAAAACATGTACACAACATGTAAACAACATGTAAACAACATGTAGTCAACATGTAAACAACATGTAGCCAACATGTAAACAACATGTGAACAACATGTAGTCAACATGTGAACAACATGAAAAAACATGTAAACAACATGTAAACAACATGCAATCAACATGTAAACAACATGTAAGCAACATGTAAACAACATGTAGTCAACATGTAACCAACATGCAAACAACAAAACAACATGTAAAAAACATGTAAACAACATGTAAAACAACATGTAATTAACATGTAAACAACATGTAAAACAACATGTAAACAACATGTAAACAACATGCAAACAACATGTAAACAACATGTAATCAACATGAAATATGTAAAAACCATGTACACAACATGTCAACAACATGTAAACAACATGTCGTCAACATGTAAACAACATGTAGCCAACATGTAAACAACATGTAAACAACATGTAAACAACATGTAAGCAACTTGTAAGCAACATGTAAATAACATTGAAACAACATGTAAACAACATGTAAACAACATGTAAATCATGTAAACAACATGTAAACAACATGTAAACAACATGCCAACAACATGTAGTCAACATGTAGCCAACATGTAGTCAACATGAAAACATCATGTAAACAACATGTAAACAACATGTAAACAACATGTAGCCAACATGTAGTCAACATGTAGTCAACATGTAAACAACATGTAAGCAACATGCAAACAACATGTACACAACATGTAAACAACATGTAAACAACATGTAAACAATGTAAACAACATGTAAACAACATGTAAACAACATGTAAACAGCATGTACACATTATGTAAGCAACATGTAAACAACATGTAAGCAACATGTAAGCAAGATGTAAACAACATGTAAACAACATGTAAACAACATGTAAACAACATGCAAACAACATGTAAGTAACATGTAAACAACATGTACGCAACATGTAAACAACATGTAATCAACATGATATATGTAAAAAAACATGTACACAACATGTAAACAACATGTAAACAACATGTAAGCAACATGTAAACAACATGTAAACAACATGTAAACAACATGTAAACAACATATAAACAATGTTTTTTTTTGCATGTAAACACATCTCGTTTACGTGTAAAAAACATGGATTTCAAATCGCAGTTGTTGTTGTTTTTGTTGTTGTTGTTGTTGCTGCTGCTGGTGTTGTTGTTGTTGTTGCTGTTGCTGTTGTTGTTGTTGCTGCTGCTGCTGGTGTTGTTGTTGTTGTTGTTGTTGTTGTTGCTGTTGTTGTTGTTGTTGTTTGTTGTTGTTGTTGTTGTTGTTGTTGTTGTTGTTGTTGTTTGGATCGCCCATGTGCTGAGGGGCTTGCGCTATCGGAGCATTTCCGGCAGCACAGTAGGCTGTGGGAGTTGGTGGGATTGCCTTAACCCATGGCTGTAGGAACCCCCAAAGGTGATTTTCATCCTCTTAAGTGCCGATGTTTCCCATCCATTCCTATTCGAAGACATGCGATGGATGTTCGAATTCCAAAGTGCTTCTGGATTTTCTGACAGTGAAGGGATGCTGCATGTGCACCCCTGTCTCAATCCATTGTCCATCGTCTCAGTTGAATAGACCCAAAACTTGGAGACATGGTCCGACAATCGGTAACAAGTAATGGTGGATTCCAACCACTTATATAATACTTCCAAAAGAGTGATGTGCTGTGGGTGTGGATTTGGAATGATATGTATATATGGTTTTGTCTGAAAATAGGGCACCCTGGTACCCCCAAATCCCCTGGTGAATCAGCACTCAAAACTGCAACATTCTGTATATATATATATATAAGTATATATTCCATATCCATCTATGGGTACCCCACCATTTTCAGACAGAGCCATATAATTATTTGTAGAACATCTTCAGGATAAGAAGCCAAAGAGAAACCATTCGCCAGGCCCTTGCACACCGAAACTGGTGCATAGCCAGTCAGCTCTGGAGGTGGAAATCACAGATGGTTGACATCACTACATGGGGGGAGTCTGATAACTCCATGTATTGAAAAAATATTGGGGCTGCATTACAGTGGATCCAATATTCATGACTGCCGGGCTTGTGTGGCGCTGGTGTGCCTTGATGTATTCGTCGTTCAGGGGAGCTTTGTTCTGACACTCAGTCCGGAGTGTCTGATGTTTTTTCATTTTTAAACTGAATCGTTTTACCCATTGTAATCTGTTTTTTCCCTAGTAGACAAGCCAAGCTTGTAACGAGGATAGGGGATAGAGCAGTGTTGACATGCAAGAATGCTCTTGAGCCGGTTGTGCATTCGGCTGTCTAAGACTGCTCCTCTGTCTATGCAACGCCTCCAATATGCTTCCTAGAGACAGGTCACTACGAAGAGAATGTGCCCCAAACACCTGCGACAGAGACACATTTGGACCCATCCCCCAGCCTCACGGGCCTCGGCCCGACAGGATCAGGATGGTGTTTCGAGCACCTCCAACCTGTCCGACTTCCTTGGCCAGCTTTCTCCGCGCAGCGGGATGTCAGAGGCACACTGAATGGGCTGAAGAACTGTGTTTGCTGAAAGGAGTAGAACCTCCCATGTTTTTTTTGATTGCTGTGTGCGTGTGTGTATACGTGTGTATAAATTGCACGTATATATATATATATATGTTATACATATATTCAACATGCACACACGCACACACATAATTACCTAATTACATCATGTCATAATTACATATATACATACACGCACGCACACACGCACATATATATATATATATATGTATATATATATGTATATATATATATGTATATAGACATACGCAGGTGTAAATGTAAGATATATAAACACACGTACACGAACATCTCTCTCTCTCTCTATTTGATCAAGGCATTATCCTGGGTTATTGGGATATGTGGATTCTCTAAGTTTGAGCCCAACAACTAGGAATACCAAAACAAAACAGCGCTGTGCACAAGTACTTGGCGACATAAAGAGCACCAAGGCAGAAACTCTGAACTGGATCTTTTGCGTTTAGCTCTTCTGCAATGCCTTCATTTGATGGTCCATACCGTGTTTGACCTTGTTCAGGCAGACGGGACAGCCTCAAATAGCACTGGGACAATGTCAGTCAGACTCAGCCCGAAGGCAAGGCACGTGCATAATCGAATCCAGACCACACCACAGACAATGAATTTTGAATTTGCCCAAAGAGACTGTAGAACATACTCTTGAACGTACTTTGAACATAGCGAACTACCTTCTGAATTCGTGAAGATACGATTGGCCGTGTCTTGGGAATGTTTATTTTTCAACACGGCAGTGGTGGCATCACTGGATATACTCTGCGGTATTTTATTTTGATACCAGTGTTTTTGATTACCATCAAATTCCCGCAAGATGCGATCAGCCGGCACAGGCCTTCCCGCGTGAGCACCGCATGTCAGCAAGCGAGCTGCTGAAGCAGGCGCCCTATGAAATCGCATGGGTACAGGTTGAGGTGATGTGAGATGGACTGACGAGACCGTGTGCAAAAATCGTCAGAGGATGGAAGACCTAGTGGGACCAAAAAGTCTTCCAAAGTAGCGCCACGACTCTTGCAAAAAATTACTTTACTTCGAGTTATATATCCCCACCATGACATCTACTGTATACGTTTTGTTACTGGAAAATCTTCTGGCATTCTATCTGACATATCTTCTGGCATTTTATCTGGCATATCTTCTGGCATTCTATCTGGCCTATCTTCTGGCATTCTACCTGGCATATCTTCTGGCATATGTTCTGGCATATCTTCTGGCACTCTATCTGGCATATCTTCTGGCATATCTTCTGACATTCTACCTGGCATTCTATCTGGCAAATCTTTTGGCGTATGTTCTGGCAAACATTCTGGCACTTTATCTGGCCTACCTTCTGGCATTCTATCTGACATTCTATCTGGCATACCTTCTGGCATTCTATCTGGCATATCTTCTGGCATTTTATTTGGCATATCTTCTGGCAAGCTATCTGGCCTATCTTCTGGCATTCTTCTACCTGGCATATCCTGGCATATCTTCTGGCATTCTATCTGGCCTATCTTCTGGCACTCTATCTGGCATATCTTCTGGCATATCTTCTGACATTCTATATGGCATTCTATCTGGCAAATCTTCTGGCGTTCTAGCTGGCAAACATTCTGGCACTTTATCTGGCATACCTTCTGGCATTCTATCTGACATTCTATCTGGCATACCTTCTGGCATTCTATCTGGCATACCTTCTGGCATTGTATCTGGCACTTTATCTGGCATATCTTCTGGCATTCTTTCTGACATTCTGGCGTTCTATCTGACATATCTTCTGGCATTCTATCTGGCCGTTGAGGTCCAGCGGTGCTCACTGAGCTCGGAGGGTCCCAGGTTGAGGTCCAGCGGTGCCCACTGAGCTCGGAGGGTCCCAGGTTGAGGTCCAGCGGTGCTCACTGAGCTCGGACGGTCCCAGGTTGAGGTCCAGCGGTGCCCACTGAGCTCGGAAGGTCCCAGGTGAGGTCCAGCGGTGCCCAGTGCGCTCAGACCCTTGCAGTTGAGGTCCAACAGCGCCCACTGCGTGCAGAAGTTGGCGAAGAGCTTGGCGAAGAGTTGGCAAGGCGGAAGTGAACATGGAAGTGGAGGCAGAGGTGGTGGAGGAGAAGGAGGAGGAGGAAGAGGAGAAGAAGAAGGAGAAGAACAACTCTGATAAAATCTAACAACCCTCACCTGGCAGGTGTGGAAAAATGGAGTGAATGATTGGAGGCAGTTCAGCCTCATTTGAAAGTGGTAAACCGATGTGTATTCATGGCCTACTGCGAGGGACGCATTTTTCAGCATCGCCCAACGTTGGTAATTGATTGGCGCAGGCCCCCCAAAAAATAATGTAAAGTCTTGAAGATGTCTCGCCAGGTAAAAAGGAATCATGTACTGAATCTACGATAATTTAAGTAAAGGTTTTAGGTCATTTGAATCTGCTTCCAATTTACTTTGCTTTGTTGAGCTCATGGGGCATGAAAGAGAGGATCTTCGAGCGACAGAATTTGGTAACATGATTCATTTCCCCGTATTTCCTCTCTCTTTTCTTTTCTTTCTGTTCTTTCTCTGTTTTCTTATTTTTTTCTTTTCTTTCATTTCTTTCTTTTTTTTCTTCTCTTTCTTCTCTTTCTTCTCTTTCTTTTCTTTTTTTTCTTTCTTTTGATTCTTTTGACCTTTTTGATTCTTTCATTTCTTCCGTTGTTTCTTCCGTTGTTTCTTCCTCTTCTTCTTTGGACACCTTGGCATTCTCTTGAAATGGCGCTAAGTAAGATTAAAAACAGAGGGAAGGGAGTGGTTCTGTTTGAAACACAAAGAAGTTCTCAGGACGGTGATTGACATTATTCACCAACAGCCAAACCATTTCAGTATATTCTAGTATTCAAATGTATTCAATATCTGGGTGGTTCACGGGCTATCCCTTGAAAAATTGTTTGGGTCTTGGATTTAAACTTAAGTGTAGAAAGGAGTTGGCTCTTTGGGGAACCCTCGCGTTCCTTAGACGTGAATCTAAGTAAGATAAACAAATGTAAGAAAGGAGTGGTGGTTTTTGAGATTCACTGAAAAGTTTTCAGAAAGGTCCTTGACATTCTATATTCACTACCAGCCTACTCAGTATATTGTGCAATTGTTTGGGCAGTAAAAGGAACAGATCCGTTCCGATTGGAAGGGACAGGAAGGAATTTGGAGTTGTTTCCTGCACTTGATGTTCTACATACCTAAGTCCTAAACTCCCAAGGCAAAACCCATCAGAATACACACTGCCATATCTGAGAGGCTTCAGATGAGTCCCCAAAACAGGCCGAAGCCTCAGTCGAAGTGCGACTGTGGTACCAGAAGCATCGGAAGCCTTGAAATCACCGACTACCAGGGATATACCAGAGATATACCAGGGATGTCCATGTTGTGCCCGTGCACCCAGGGGACCCAGGGGACCCAGGCGCGGAGGAGTGGCGGACCCCAGGTGCGGGATGGGAACGCTATGGAAATGGCATCGTTTTAAGTGATGTTTGTTCATTGTGCTTTGGGCTGAAACTCGCCCCCCAAAAAAGGACCTATTCAGAACTGGAGAACGCAAAGCCATGCAATATGCAAACTAGTTGGCATACAAAGAGTGCTGATATGTGCTCATATATGATATTTGAGCAACGCATAGCGTACTGGCTACTGCCTGCAGTACGAGGCAATTCCTGCAGGCACTAAGGACATCTCAAGGCATCTCAAGGCACCTCAAGACATCTCAAGACATCTTATAGTATCGCAAGTAGAGTATCTAACCAGTGGCATCCAGTGGCAGATCTTTTTGTGTTGTTTGGATTCATTATCTTTCAGGGAATCATGCACCTAGCGTCATGCCATCTATCTGGTGCCACGTGCCGTGCACTTTCTCTCTCTCTCTCTCTCTCTCCCTCCCTCCCCCTCCGTCTGCGTGGCTGCCTGCCCGTCGGTCTGTCTGTCTGTGTCTGTCTGCCTGCCTGGCTGTCTGTCTGTCTGTCTGTCTGATAACCATAGGAAAGCCACAGCACACCAGCAAACACCATACTTCACGGATAGCGGCAATTAGTTGAAGGAACATGAAGGAAACACAGGATGACTTCCCGCCACATCCAGCCACGACAGGGGCAGCCTGGCGGCCCTCGCAGCTCTTCCGGCCACAACATTGATTCGACGGCAGTGTCCCAAGTCCTTGCCAATGCAGACATCCGAAAACAGGCGCCAGCAGAGCATTTGCGTGGAGTACCATTGTAATCCGTTGAGTTTAAGCACCCGAACAGGACACCACGCCGAGATCTGACACTGCTAGGAGTTCCAAGGCGGGTCACAGAGATGGAGGGGACTTGTGGATTTTGTATTGAATACGACAGCCAACCTCTAGATATCTCCAACTACTCCCATAAGTAGGTGCGTTGTGGGCAAGAAGTGTGACAGCCCCACCTGGCAGCATGTCAACAGTGGCATTTTTCAAAAGCAGGCATGTCACTGGTCATGTTCAGACATGATTTTGGCCCTCCCAAAGAGATGATCAACACATGATCAATTCGGAAACAACAGCAGGGATATGGCCTATACAGGCTATACATGTCTGTCTGTTTTCGGGTGTGTCATGTCAGGTTGGAATTTTCCCCAGCCCCCAAGCCCCCAGGCCCCCAAGTTGCTGCAGGTGCGCTCAGCCAGGAGCTCGAGTTCATCTCAGCTGAAGGCCCGGTGCTAGTTCTCCAAGGCAGACGCCCCAAGGATGGAAAGAGGTAAAGCATGGTCTGTCTATGTCAAAATAGAAAGGAAAATAATGTTGTTTTCATGACTTTTTTTGGACCCCTTTTGGGTATCAAGGCCAAGAGGTGAGGCTTTGTCGCCATCCGCTGTATACTTATGGGCAAATGACGGTGCCAGATTCCTTTTGATGTTTCATTCGCCGAGATCATGCAAAAAGTTGTTGAGATGTGTCCTATCAAATGCTGGTAGACTTGAGTTAAGGTAACAATCAAAGTGCAGATGCATTTATTCTGTTAGTAAATAAATAAATAAACACACACACACACATATATATATATATGCATATATATATAATACGTATATTGAAATATCACAGGTTTTGTTTCTGTTTGTCCTCTTTGCACCCCCGTCTTGACGCATGATGAGACCCATTGGGACAAGGCGCGTTCCAGAAGCTCCAGTAGTGCGTCACATGTGCGACAGCCCAGCTGACGCCCTGCTGTAAGTCCAGTTTTTCAAACTTGGCACGGCACATTTTGACTGGAATGTTCACAGGAATGGCACCGAAAAATAGTTGTCAACCTGTTTCAATTTCAACATGTTCCAGTGTTCATGTTTTTCCAACACATATCGCCTCACATCATCATTATCATCATCATCATCATCATCCCCATCCCCATCCCATATCTCAGTAATAATTCATCGTTTTCTGAGTTGCGGTGAATTAATCACTCCACTCCAATCACCTGTCAGGGCCACAGAAGCACGGCCAGAAAGGTGGGCGGCCCAGTCAAAGAGAACAACCCGAGGAAAATCCAACAACTATGGTTTATATTGGTTTATCATAGTTATAACATGTTAAAACTACAGTTAATGGGGTTTATAAACCAACTTAGAACTGGGGGGCCCACATTAGATACATGAAAAAGTTTACCAGGACAGTATAAGATGTATAAGGAGGCAGCAACAGCAAGTGGGCTATCACGACAAGGGTGTTACTTGATCTCCTTCATGTTGGTGGCGAATTGCCTCTGAAGTGTTCTTTATGCGGGCTTGATGAGGGAACATTTGCACAGGATGTTTTCGAGACTGATCAATCAAATCCCACAAAGAAGCCTCTGCATTCTATGCTCAATAGCTGGGTAGTATTGGCCTTTTGGGGCACGCACCACCCAGCTCCAATCCTGCACGGTCATCAAATGAATGTATGCTGCTCTACCCTAAACCATGAAGATTTGCATGTGATAACTGATATGCCTGTTATTTCTTGGTTTTAGTCAGTCTTGGGGTGAAGATGGTGACAGATTCTGGTATTCTCCGCACAGATTCACATGTAATATTCATATCAGCGTGGCCACCAGTCATATATGAACTGAATTGAAATGCTGTGCAGTTGGTCGCCCCCAGGAAAGCGGTAGAAGTCCATCATCTCGTTCAAGATTGGACAAGCACCTGGAGGTTGCTTTCCATTGAACCAATGATGACCCATGATGACCCATGACTCACAGGACCAGGAAGTGACTCAGGGACCCATCGAATCCCTCAAACTTTTGCAGACAGAGAACAAGTCTATAAATAGAGCTTATACATATATATATATATACATAAATCATACACATACACATACACACATACATACATACACATACATACATACACATAAACACACATGCATACACATACATATGCATTCACATACATTCACATACATACACATACATACACATACATACACATACATACATATACATACACATACATACACATACGTACACATACATACACATACATACACATACATACATACACATACATACACATACATACACATACATACACATACATACACATACATACACATACATACACATACATACACATACAGACACATACATACACATACATACACATACATACACATACATACACATACATACACATACATACACATACATACACATACATCCACATACATACACATACATACACATACATACACATACATACACATACATACACATACATACACATACATACACATACATACACATACATACACATACATACACATACATACACATACATACACATACATACACATACATACACATACGTACACATACGTACACACACATACATACACATACATACACATACATACACATACATACACATACATACACATACATACACATACATACACATACATACACATACATACATACATACATACACATACATACACATACATACACATACATACACATACACATACACATACATACACATACATACACATACATACACATACATACACATACATACACATACATACACATACATACACATACATACACATACATACACATACATACACATACATACACATACATACACATACATACACATACATACACATACATACACAGACATACACATACATACACATACATACACATACATACACATACATACACATACATATACATACACATACATACACATACATACACATACATACACATACATACACATACATACATACATATATATATGCTACCCCCCCCCAAGACCTACATTTTTTGTATTAGGTATGTCCTTGGCTGCCTTGTCTTTCTTCTCATCTTCTCACCTATTGCAACACTGCATCAGGACAGTAGCTTTACCTAATTTATCTAATTTATCCAATCTATCTAATCTATCTAATCTATCTAATCTATCTAATCTATCTAATCTATCTAATCTATCTAATCTACTTGTATCTAATCAACTTGTATCTAATCATCTAATCTAATCTACTCTAATCTAAATCTAATCTAATCTAATCTAATCTAATCTATCTAATCTGTCTAATCTATCTAATCTATCTAATCTACTTGTATCTAATCAACTTGTATCTAATCATCTAATCTAATCCACTCTAACCTAAATCTAATCTAATCTAATCTATCTAATCTAATCTAATCTATCTAGTCTAATCTATCTAATCTAATCTATCTAATCTAATCTATCTAATCTAACCTAATCCAATCTAATCTAATCTCATCCAATCCAATCCAATCCAATCCAATCCAATCCAATCTAATCTATCTATTCTAATCAATCAATGAATCTATCAATCTTCTATCTATCTGTCTATCTATCTAATCTAATCTAATCCTATCCTATCCTATCCTATCCTATGCTATGCTATGCTATCCTATCCTATCCTATCTTATCTATCTAATCCATTCTATTCTATTCTATTCTAATTCTATTCTATTCTATTCTAATCTAATCTATCTAATCTATCTAATCTATCTAATCTATCTAATCTATCTAATCCATCTAATCTATCTAATCTATCTAATCTATCTAATCTATCTAATCTGTCTAATCTAATCTAATCTGTCTAATCTAATCTAATCTAATCTAATCAAATCCAATCTAATCTAATCTAATCTATGCTATCTACCTATCTACCTACCTATCTATCTATCTATCTATCCATCCATCCATCCATGTATCCATGTATCCATGTATAGAAATCCAAGATTTTGATCAAAAGTCTTGTGGGAAACTTGGATCTTGGATTTTGAATCTTGCAAAGAATGCATTCAGAATGCATTCTTTCGGCAGGATTCAAGATTCAAGATTCAAGATTTCTAGGGACTCTTTGGAGCAAATCTTGAATCCACCCCCTGGATTCAAGATTCAAGATTCAAGATTCCTGAGGACTCTTTCCAGCAAATCTTGAATCCAGGATTCAAGATTCAAGATTTCTGGGGACTCTTTGGAGCAAATCTTGAATCC